TGCTGAAAGGGAGTAGGAGTAGAGCCCAGCCGGCACTGGTCAGGAAAAGGCCAATAACTAGAATAAGGTTAGATACTGTGCGCCCAAAGCGGACAAAGAGTAAACTCACCATCGAACTGCACAAAGTAATACTTGAAGGACTCCCAAATAGTGCGGTTGTGTACCTTCTCAGGGGCAAGGCCAAACTTCTTGGCCTTCATCTCATTCATGATGAAGATAACCATGACGGGAATGCAGAACGCCAACAGGATGATACAGAACGAACCAAAAGCCCATCGGAAGTTGACGTTCTTCAAAAAGAGCTCAGCAATCTTGGGACCGGCGAAAGTGGAGCTGATGGTAGGCGTGTAGTTGATACCCATGATGATCAATCGGTTGCGGAGAGTAGTGGTGTCAGCGACGACAACGTCAATGACATAGATGAGACCGAGATGGCCAACCCAGTAGAACGTATGCGCAGCAGCATACATCTCGACGCTGTTGCATGTGGCCTTCATGATCATACCGACAACAATCAGGAGAACCATGGCACCGAAGCCCCAGACTCGACCCCAGATGTCAATGATCTTGGCGAGGGTCAAGTTCCAGACGGCACCCAGAATCGAGGCTACGATACCAGTTGAGGCGAGAAGACCGTGTGAAGCGAAGGCTGAAGTGACGTATGGAATGAGGTTGCTCTGCACATTTTGGAGCAGACTATCGACGAAGGAGACGAGGAACAGACTAGAAGATACAGGATCAGTATAGTCATAGCAAGGTGAGCTAATCACTTACAAGACAAATGTGGCAATCAGCATCTTCTTGGTCCAGACGCTGGTGATGGCCTCGGCTTTCTTGACACCCTGTTGCTTGAACTCATCGTCGGAGAAGTCCTTGAGATCCTCATCGACCATGATGTTGTTGTTGGCGGGAGCCTTCTCAATGTCTGGGACAGACACTTCGTTGACGGGCTCAGGCCCGTTCATGGTGTGAGTCGCCATTGGAACGAAAGATGCCAGAATCGTTCCAAAGGGAGGAGGTGCTCAATTCGGCTCAATGGATCGAGGGAAGAAAGAAAGAAATAAGCTTGACGATTGCTCAATCTATGAGGGGACCACGAGGTCGCATTGAAGGGGGGAGAGCACCCATTAAGTACCTTGCCCTACCAGGCCAAGATCGTAGCTCATTGCAACTCTGGCTGCATTGGAAGCTCTCACTAGAGCGAGAATTGAGAACGGGATAGGCGATGATCATCCATGGCTAGATTTCATAGAGCGAATCCTTCGGAAGGCTAAAACGGTAACTGGTCTCCGATGGGTGAGCTTCCTAAGCCCACCTATAACTGGCTGCGGTAAGTCTGCCATGAGCCAGGTAAGGATTAAGCTCATTGCGACCCTGGACAATCAACGGCAGAAAGCCCGTATTCGAGACGAACCCTCTCGCTGCAGAGACGTCCCTGGTTCTGGGATGGCGAGAAAAAGACGCACTAACACCGATCATCCACGCTCTATTTGCTTGGCCCTACGAGTCTAACTCTTGGGAATAGCACCGCAGATGTGCCAAATGGAGACCTTGCAGTGTCGAGAGCATCATCCATTGGATGAAGCTTATTTCCAGAAGCTATCCGCCCATCGACCGGGGTGAGTTGGCCGAGAGTGGCGTCGCTCCAACTGCTTGGTACGGTATGGCGCCGTTTGGTGTTGACCCCCAAGAACACCAACGCAAGTTTTTCAGCGCTAGTCGCATATCTGATCATCTGATAATCTGATAAGCAGCATCAGCACTGAAGATCGCACCTCTTGGCCGCCCTTCACCCTCCAGCGTGCGGCGTAGCATTGGCACGTCAATTTCATCCGTCCTTCTCCGAGTATAAGTATGTGAAGGAAAGCTTATAGAAGCTTTTATCTCAGAAAAGGGCCAAAGTGTTCGGTTGGTCCAGGTTCCGTTGCATGTCGCTTGTCATATAAAACGACACAGATTAGATCGATCGTAAGGCCAACAACCAACAACCAACAGCGCGTTTATAGCGTCTAAAGAAACGAAGCACCACATAACAAGCCGTGGGGCCGTACAAGATTATTTCCCGGTAAGTGGGCGCCGGTCGATAGTGAGAAAAGCCAGACTCCGATTTGACCATGATGAGTTTTCGGGTCATTTCGAACCAGGAAGGGCAATAGAGGCGCTTTTTGGCGTAAATATGGTTGTGAGCCATAGTCTTGGCATCAGGCAATCGGAGAGAAGATGGGCAAGCCACTAACACGGGATTCCGAAGCATGATTTTTAGCCCTGGACTGGGTTTCTAGGCTCTGTGGAACTGTTGCTCTCTTCATTCTCCTTATCAATCTGAAGAAGATAAACAGCGACAGGCCAAAGCATGTCTGACTGATCTCAGATTCACTGATAGAGCTGTTGATAATCCGGTCAAAAGGAAGTCGATGGTCAAGTGGCTCAAAGATTGAGACTTGAGGCAAATTCATTTCCTTACTGGGGCCTTTGATGTCCGCTTCAACGTCTTGGCAAGCCTTTCGTCCAGTCTGGAAATAAGCCTTCCATCCAGAGCTTGTAATGTGGCTCACTAGAGGAGAAAAGAAAACTCGGGACCTTGATTCTAAGTGACAAAAAGACTTAGGTAAATTTGCATGAATTTAGGGCATCTTTACCAAGTTTAGGATATCTTTTGCCGAGTTTATTTTGACACCTTACCTCAAGGTCCCGTATTTTCTTGCTCCCCGAAGGCTCGGAACAAAAACGATTCTGGGTTGAATCCACTGTGGATGTCAAGCATCGAATTGACTGCTGCCTGGCCAAAATCTTCCTTTCTCTTGACCTGCTTTGTCGTACTCATGCGGGGGTCCGGTGATTGATAGGCCGATTCTGCAGGATCACATCCGATGAATGGTCTTTTGATGTTCCAGACATAATGAATGCACCCGGCCCTCTTTAGCATTGCAAAATCCGACCGTCCGGGTGACATTTTCCTTGTGGTGGGCCAGAGAAGTCCTTGTCATAGAGTTAGACACTCTTGGCGCCTGGGAGCAGTAAATAGTCTCCCAATAATATCGCAATATATCCGAACTATTGTAGTCTCTTCTGCTTACAGAAAAGAGCCTTGTCTTTCCTTGGACCAAGACATTGGTGTAAAGGGCCGAGATGCACGGCCGATCTGAAGTTTGACAAGGGAATAGAGTCCTTTGAACCTCCCGATTTGATCCGCCAAAGCGTTCCTCCGATGGCAGACCATGGAACTGCATTTTGGATAGAAACAATAACTCAGAGAGCATCACATCCCCATGATAGCGCTCTATGAGGTGAACTGATGTCCAGTTTCATCGATATCGAGGCTGGTTGTGTTGCATCGCCGATTTGGTGTTTGCCACCAACTGCAACTGCAACTGATTGATTTGATAAGATTAGATTATCTCGAAATGCTTAAATTGCCATCATGTCTTGGCATTGGACCCTGGTGGCGCCGCGAATCCTTCGACGTCGTTGATCCTGAATTTTTGTATGCACATGACCGGAGAAGCTACCGGTCAAATTGCGACATTTGGAATAGACATGAATCCCACGAACCTAAAGATTGAGAAGAGCGCGTGGCCACGCCAGGGTTGGTGAGAGACCTTGTGGTTAGTGTTATAAGTGAAAGACAAACTTGGGCAACTGTAGGAAGGCTTTGCAGTTTTACTTTGAACTCCGGAGGCTTTGATCAAACACTCTCGTATCCTGAAAGGAGGTGTCTGAGCTTTACTGCTATCGGAGATCAAGGCAAAGCTGACAACATCCGCACATAAGAAGCCAACTGTGCCGATATCGCAATTTGGTGTCATCGAGTTCGAGAAGCATCAGACTTTTAGCAAGGGTACTTAGGTCTTCGTGGGCTGGTTCCAATGTGCTAAGTTACTGCTTACACTCGACACTATACATTCCGTGTGGTCGTATATCGGCAAACCACCTGTAGTACTACTCGCTGTGTTTGGCCTCATCTGTCAAGTACATAGAGTATGCACGGCGGGATATGGGTGTTTTCGTGCCATGATTGTGACTCATTTTCCACGCAAGCTTGCGATCGATCAATCGTAAAGTCTTTCTTTGAGCGAAAACGTTCGAGAGAATCCAAATACGGAACATTTCGAAATGCTACCGAGTCGAGTGTCTTGATTTCCACTGTCTAGGCGATCGATGGCTTGTTGAGGGTGGCAAGTTGATCGTTGTCAAGCCTGTAGAGGGAAAGAGTGCAGCTCTTTCCCAGCAACCACAAGACATATAATATACAAATGGGGCGGGATGTAGGTAGAAGTTCTATATCGTAGTGTCATCAAGTTGCCACTATTAACAGCGTGCCCAGAAGAATGTGATTGAGAACGTGGTGTTCCCAAGTCTATCTGTCTAGGTGCTAGGTGCTAGGTGCTAGGTAGACGAGACCTAATCATGACGATTCCCAAAAATATATAGAAGCAGGAAAAGACAGTCCTTGCGTTTCTCTTCAGAAATGAAACTGTGCTAACTGCCAGTCCATAGAAGTGTATTCACTTAGGGCCTGTGCCAATCAACAACTTACATCAGTCACCGAATGTACAAGAGGCCACAGCTTCACAAGAGACAAACGACTACTTCACACGGAAAACAGACATAGGCGAGCATTGGGGATTAATTCAAAAAAAATAAGTCAATATTAACATTAAACAACCAGCCAGCGGGTATATATGCTTCTGTGCATCTCGGCTCAACTGGTAACTTCCCTTGCTCTTTTTCTTTTCTACTTCATTTTTTTCTTCGACCTCCCAAGACTTGATGTCACATGAGGATCCGGTCAGTACCAAGTTTCCACACTAATGCATAGTTCGTAAGGATCGTAAGAATGATACATGTTTGTTGAGCGCGCTGTCTAACTTCCCTGGAAGCTCAAGCGGTCTCGGGGTGCGGGCGTACATAGCATACATACAGGTCCCGCCTCAGGTACCAAGACCTAATCTATAAACAACAAGGAAAACAGAGATGATGTGCGAAGCGCATCATGACCCTTACAGGGCAATGGCAACAGCCAGGATGGCGGCGGCGATGCCCATGCCGTTGCGAGCGGCACCAGCAGTCACGGGAACGCCAGTAGCGGTAGGAGCGGGGAGACCACCGGTGCCGACAGCGGGCTTGCCAGTGATGAGAGTCTCACCAGCGCCGGGAGCCTCGTAGCCGGGAGCAGGGGCCTCAGTACCGGCAGCGGGAGCGGTAGCAGGGGCAGTCTGAGCAGGGATGGGACCGTTACCAGCAGGGCCGGAGGTGAAGCCAACCTCAGGGACAACGATCTCAGTCTCAATGGTCTTGACAGTGGAGGAACCCTCAACAGGGGTACCGCTGGCGACAACGGGCTCAGTGATGGTGGTAGCAACAACGACGGTGGTGTAGTGAGCAGAGGTGATGATGGTAGTGCCAGTGACAGTGATGTGCTCAGTGACGGAGTCGGCACCGGTGGCAATGACAGGGTTCTTCTCGGCGTAAGGAGCGCAGATACCCTGGAAGAAGGAGACGGCCTGGGCAACAGTGTCGTCGTTCTCAGCGTGGGCGTAGAGGCACTCGAAGACGTTGGCAACGAAGTCCTTGGAGGGGCAGTAGCAGGCAGCATCGGTGTTGTCCTTGCAGTCGGCGACATAGTCAAGGAAAGTGTTCAAGCAGCTGGGGACGACATCGGGAACGTCATAACCATCCTCGGGAGCCTTAGGGGTCTCGGGCTTCTCATCGGAGCCAGTCTTCTCGGGCTTGGGAGCCTTGTGAGTAATGGTCTCGGTGACGGGGCAGATGGTAGTGGAAACGGCAACAGTCTCGGTGACAACAGCAGGAGTACCGGCAGTGACAGGGCAGTTGGTGACCTCAGGACCACAAGAGGTGATGGTCTTGACCTCAGTAGAGTAAATGGTAGAGGTGCTGTCGTAGCTGGTGACAATGGTGGTGTGCTCCTCGGGGACATCAGTGGTAGCGTTGGGGGAAGAACCCTCGGTGGTCTTGGCAGGCTTGTCACCAGTGGGCTTCTCACCAGCAGGCTGAGTGTAACCAGGCTTGTCACCACCCTCAGTAGGCTTGGTCTGGCCAGGCTTGTCGCCAGTAAGAGTCTCAGTCACAGGGCAGATAGTGGTGGAGATGGCGACAGTCTCAGTGACGATAACGGGGGTACCAGCAGTGGCGGGGCAGTTGGTAACCTCAGGGCCGCAAGAGGTAATGGTCTTGACCTCAGTGGTGTAGACGGTGGAGGTGCTGTCATAGACGGTGGTGATAACGGAGGTGTTCTCACCAGCAGGGACGGTCTTGGTCTCCTCACCAGCGGGCACAGTCTTGGTGTTCTCGCCAGCAGGGACAGTCTCGGTGTTCTCGCCAGAAGGAGCGGAGGTAGTCTCAGAGCCTGAAGATCCGGAAGTGGTCTTGCCGCCAGCAGGAACAGTCTTGGTCTCCTCGCCAGCAGGGACAGTCTCAGTGTTCTCACCAGCGGGAACGGTCTCAGTGTTCTCGCCAGCAGGGACAGTCTCGGTGGTCTCGCCAGAAGGAGCAGAGGTGGTCTCGGAACCAGATGAGCCAGAGGTGGTCTGCTCACCGGCAGGAACAGTCTTGGTCTCCTCACCAGCAGGGAAGGTCTTGGTGTTCTCGCCGTAGGGAACAGTCTCCGTGTTCTCACCAACGGGAGCGGAGGTGGTCTCAGCAGGAGAAGAACCAGAAGTGGTTTGCTCGCCGGCGGGGACGGTCTCAGTGTTTTCACCAGAAGGAACGGTCTTGGTGTTCTCACCGGCAGGCACAGTCTCGGTGTTCTCGCCTACAGGGGCGGAGGTAGTCTCAGCAGGAGAAGATCCGGAGGTGGTCTGCTCGCCGGCGGGAACAGTCTCAGTGTTCTCACCGTAGGGGACAGTCTCGGTGTTGCCACCAGCGGGAGCAGTAGTAGTCTCCTCACCAGCAGGGACAGTCTTGGTGTTGTCACCATAGGGGATGGTCTTGGTGTTCTCGCCAGAGGGGACGGTGTAGGTGTTGCTGGGAGGCTGAGGCTTGTCACAGTCGAAGTCGATTTGGGGAACCTCAACACGGCACTTGTCCTTGGGCTTGTTGGGCTGCTTGGGGTAGACGAAGCGGACGTTCTTGGCACCACCACACTGGCTGTTGTAAACATCGGTACCGTCCTTAGAGCAGTCGGCCTGGTGCTTGCAAGTAGAGCCGTCAGGCATGTCATAGTGGAACTCGAGACGGCAGTCAAACTCGGGTCGGACGTGGAACTTCTTCAGAGAGAAAGACTTCTCCTTGCTGCCAGCGCCACATCCGAAAGAGGGAGCAGCCTCCTTGACAGGGCCACACTCAGCAGAGATAGACTTGCCAAAGTGTCGGCCAGTGAGATCGCGCTTCGACTTATCGGTTCCACAGGTCCAGCCCTTGAAATCAAAATCGTTGTACTTCTCGAACTGACCGACCTGGAGATCATCCCAGTACCAGCCTTTCTTCTGGTTCTCCTGACACTTGTTGTCGATGGCTTGGGGAGGAGTGTACTTAGGAGCCTCCTTCCACTTACCCCAGTGAGCGGAGACCTCGCCAAGGCTGGCAGTGAGAGCCAGAAGGGCAAAGTTGGCCTTCATGGTAAAAGAATTGTCGGGGGGTGGTAATAACTAGTTGTGTGTGTGTAGCGAGTGTGTTATATGCAGAACAGAATATTAAGAAATGGAGTCAAAGGAAACGAATGACTTTGACACCAGAACAAAAAAGAGAAACTTTGATGTAAAGAAAAGAGGAAAAGAAAAAGGTGAGTGATAATCCAAAAGAAAAAGTCGAAAGAGGTGGGAATGAGAAGCATCTATATACCCACGAGTCTCTATATCTATCATAAGACCCGAAGGAGTGATGACCTGCGGAGGCAAAGAGCAAACAGCCCGGCATCTGGTACCAAACATGGGTTGTCCCCTCTATGGCCCATGCCTGGTGGAGATACCGCCGGCGATGGGAACCCCTGATACTCCTCTAAGTCAGGTTGAGCATCGACGGTCGGCTGGATGTTCGAAAAGGTCTCTCCAAGAACTCAGGTCCGTCCGGTGAGGTTTGACACAACGGTTTGTGGTCCAGGGCGCCTCAGGGACAATGACAAGGATGGGTATCCGTGACATGGGATCCACGTCGTTAGAAGTTTCTCCATTGACAGGGGTCTTTAACAGCGGCTCGGTGCCAGCCCAATGATCTGTGGCAGCATTATTCAGGGTGTGTATCTTTTTCAGGTCTTGGCTGTGGATGGACTGATGAGCGAGCGAGTTCGCACCATGCGAAGCGCAATGCCCAACGGTAGCCAATGTGATGCCTGTACCTGGCCATGGATGAGAAGTAACCTTGTCTTTACTCGCCTTGCCGAAGTGCCATTCTTAGAAAGGTTAACATAACTTTTTGTTTATGCTTGACAGGGCTTGCTTCAGCTGGCCCATCTCCCGCTACTGGGCTGCGCTTCAAGACGCCGCACTGCATATCCCGATCTTCAGGCGCTTGCCATGAGAAAACAGTGCAGTATGTGAACCAATACAAATCGAAAGGCGGTTATGCATATTCTGATTAAAGCTCCGAGGCGCTACTGCATGTACTGATGGCCACTAGCAGAGCGCCTCTCAGTTGGCCAAAAGCGAAACAGAGCTTCTACAGCCAGTTACCGAGGTGGGTGTTTAGAGCACTTTGCGGGGCATCGACAGCGGGAAGATTCACACCCCGCTGTGAGGCTTGCACTTGGACGCTGAGATAGCGGTTAAACTAAGACAATGAGGAGCAGAGACAATTCAGGTGGTGGATGCGGACTCAGGCAGTCAGGTTACAGCCATTGGTATTCCCCACTGAAAGCACAGTATCGTTGACGCATAATACAAGCCATAATTTACAGCGCCAAAAGGGGTTCGCTCTCTTTTCCTGCCTGAGATGTTTCTTTCCTTTTCCCCAGGACAAATTGCTCCTTCCGCGTCTGCCGTCCTTTTCTTGGGTATCATCCATCTCTACGAATGGGCAAGTGCAACTGATGAATGAAACGCTGCGCCACCATATTATAACATGTTAAGAATCAGGGGCATCGATGGCCCGGACCCGTTAACGTCCCGCACAGGCTTCTGCAGGTACAGGCACCATATCCGCCAATCGCGCAGCAGCGCTTGCTTGGATGCCCTGGCGGTTGCCAATTGGCCGTTTTGGCATTTTTGGGCGAGCCACTAAAGATGCTGGATCAAGGTAGGTACCTTGTGGAAGGCAAGTACTTGCTTTTGTTCTTGTTCGGATTTCTACCTTAATGGGAGCATCGTGGTCCGGCGCTGCTTCCCCAGACCGCCACCGCAAGCCACTGACGGTTGGTCGTGACAGATGGAAGGTGCCAAGGCATCGTCGCTTGCGGTCAAGCCGTTACCGACCTCGCTACTGGGAAAATAACATGCTCGTCCTTTAAGGTAATCTAGATGGGCCACTTCTTAACAGCAGCAAAGCGATGCTGGTAATTACTATGCCTCACGATTCCATTATCAAGAATGGGGAATGTTTCTCGACTCATCCTAAAAATAACATTGCCATGTGGTTAACCCTCGCACTTGTTCCTCTCCATGGATCTACAGCAGGCCTCCGAAGAAACCACGATTGAGTAAACCCTACACCTTGAGCATGTCAATAATTATGGTTCAACCACGGGTTGCTACGTCAAAAGAGATTACAAAACCAAGGGACTTGGTCTATTTCCCCTTTTGAAGCACCTCGCCAATTGATAGGAGAACGGAGATATTGTAGAGCCAGTCCACAAATCCACCGTTTCCACCGGACTTGACGGGGATGTGAATCACAGAAGCAGGCCAACTATGATGGACAGGGTTCGTGGAATAAGTGATCATGGATCTGGCTAAGACGGCCAAACGCTGGCTTGGCGTGACTGGTGGCCTGACTGATTGATTCAGTTGCCTTGCTTGTACATCATCTCTGGGCCTCATTTGCTGTGATAGGTCTGAACAAGATGAAAGCTCCCAATTCGCAGCATTTACTGTTCTGATCGGATCACACTGGTCATGATGAAGGCCAGACTATCCCTAAGCCTGGTACTTTATTACTCGGTGCTTGTTGATGGACTACGAAACATGGCGCTTGCATATCACTCGAAAGGTATGCATAAGAATCACAATAGCGTAAGAAAATTTGTCATGGGCAGCATTGGATCTCTGCGATCCCTTTCATCATGCCGAAGCTGGCCAGAATTACCAACGCCGAATGGTCTCGTGGCTATCCAGCTTCCGTCTCTATCTTTAGGACGGGTGTTCATTTTTAGCACCGAGCGCCACCACCCGTCCAGTAGCATGGCGAGACAGACCCTGGGCGCGCGTGTTTGACGCCAAGGAGTCTCAGGAACAGGCCGCCCTAGTCTGTTTCAACATCAGGGCAGCCAATCATCAATTACTGAGCTACAGATCTGAGACGACGCCGATGTCTTCCAGCCCTATTACCATTTGAGGTTTTTTTTCTCTTCACAACCTTAACAGACTAGGGGAGGAAAGAAACCTCAGGACCTTGATCCTAAGCGACAGAAATACTTAGGTAAACTTAGCCTACGTTTAGGGGGCACTTTGCTAAGTTTATTTTGACCTCCTATATTAAGGTCCGGTGTTTTCTTGCTCCCTGAGGGAAGATCCTTCTCTGGACCTGGAAGCATCCTAAAAGAGAGGTTGCAAGGGAAGAGCGTCTAACCAGGACTCTCGGGTGAAAATATTGCGAGCCTACCCGTCCGGTGTTTCCCAAGTCCGGAACGATCGGCAAATGCTTGTTTGTTTTGACAATCATGAAGTCCCGGGTAGGTTTTGGCGATACAGGAAAGGAATCGCCGGCAACTGAAATCGAAGCCAAACAACATCCAAACACGATGCGATTCATTATGGAATAATTGATAATATCAAGGTCTCATCGGGATGTCTTCAACAGCCAACTGAATCTTATACTAGTTCCGTTGCAATATTCTGTCCCAGATAGAGTTTTAACGATCGTAATTGCTGTTTGCTCTTACAGTCTCAAGGTTTGAGTTACCAACCTTGAAACTATGCTTACTTGGCTAACACCAAATCGGGAAGTGCACGGATTGTTTCATTCAAAAGACTGAATGACGAAAAGGGCAGCTTGAACAACCAGTCGCAACATATGGTAGCCCTGTCCTTCACCTGAATCCCCAGTCTGTATCCAACCTTAGTCTATAACGACAAATTTGGTCTCTCTGGACCACACAGATTGATGGCTTCCTATGCCGTCAAAATTGCGAAACAGTCATGGCTTGTGAGCAATCTTTTGTCGATTCAGACTTGTTCCAATGACTAGCAGCAATCGCTTACAGGATCTCGACCGCGCATTTGAGATCAACGGCACTATTGATGAAAGCTCCCGGTGGCTTGCTCACGTCATGGATCAATTAGCCTCCGTGCGAATCCAACGCCTAACTTGACTTAGTCTTTAGCTAAAATGTTTCTCCGTGGTGGTATTCCCGCCAAAAAACAACAGCAACAGAAACGACGTCCCATGTTCACAAAGGCGAAATACGATATTCCCAAAAATGGCCAAGGCGATAAGGAGCTTAAGATCTTTATGAGGCCGCTGTGCTGGTACTCCTGACAAAATTGAGAAGGCGATATCGGTAATCTTGACGATGTATCATCGCCGTGTCGTTTCGTTTTCAACCCGGGGCTGTCATTTTGTCGATAGCCTGTCTAGCCTGTCTAGCCTGTTCTGTATGCCACGTTCAGTCGCCTAAAGCCCAGGCTCGCGGATTAAGGTCGAACCATCATAGAATGTAACGATGCCCTGAAGACCCCTGGAGCCAGAACGATGCAGCGTTACAACGCGTGTTCTTGGGCCGGACAGGGGAGATCCCGGCCGACACTAGTTCGATTGTCCTGCCAGGTTCGACTTAGCGTTTTCTCTTCTTGTCGTTCCGTGTTTCGAGTTACGGCCGTGGTGGCTTTGGATGAAACTTGCGATCTGCCAGGCACTACGGAGTACACAAGCGGTAGTTGTATTTTGCTTTTGAACGTTGAGGTGACATGGTTCTTTGCTTTTTTAGTAACGTCAAATAACTGTCACTAATAGCCAGAAACGACATTGAGAGCGGATTGGGTGTGGTTACGCGGTCGTATGTTTTTACGATAATGTGTTGCTGTTGTCTCCCGTAGTAAATGAGATGAAATTATGCTCCGGCTAGTTCTGCTGCAACATGCTGATCGTCAGTCACCTCATCCTCGATCGATGGGACCATGAATTTATTGTTCAGGGCGATTACCTTGCACCAAATGACTCCACTGATCATCATATCCAAGCGTTATTCTTTATCCTCCGGGCGTTTCATGGACTGTCTTCAGCTTACACGGATCAGAGCTGACTCGCCTTACAGCAGCTCGGTTCAGCCAAGAGAAAAAGACCACCCATCACATTAGTATCGAGCAGAGTCCTGGCCTAGCTGGCATGTGTGTTTGCTGTTACATTTCAGTTGGTACACTTGTCAGTTTCCTTGCAAGCACTTGCATGGGTATGGCGGTAGCTTTACAACCTCTCAGGGGAACCAAAGGTTTCTATGACAATTCACATCCGCCAACCCTGATTGAGCTCA